TTGTGGATAGTGGAGTAGATTTGATCTCAATTCTCCAAACTCCGATGTGTGTTCTGCCACACTGACCAATATTATAAAGAGCAAATATCGTAGGATTGTAGTTTAAAATTTTACCACGTGAAGCTCGACTTCAAATTAATTAATTAACATAGTTAATTGATCATGCACCGCCCAGCTTGGCTCTGCCCGATGTCTCATGGGCATGGGCAATAATGGATTCAAGCCTGAAACCTGAACATGGTACTATATAATGTAAACAAACCTAAGACAATACTCCACCTTTTAATTCTAAGCTTGATCATGCCTCCAAGTTATTTTCTAAAACAAAATAAGATGATTAAATTCCTGGCCTCTGCATCTAAGTATGTACAAAACTACACAGCTTTAGTTAAAATAGATATTCTCAATAAGGAACAAAACCCTTTGAGATGAAATATGCAAATTTAATAAAGCGTAAAACTCCTCTGAGATGAAATAATTAAGCAACACATGAACATGAAGGAAAAAAAAGAGCTCATTAACTATGAAGCCTATTAACATAGTGACATCTGCCTCTGTAACAGTCTGGGGTAAAAAAAGTCCTTGACGATCGACTTCAAAAGTGTGACTCCAATAATAAACATATTAAACACAATATTTGGTTCTCCTCTAACGCGACATCGTAGATCGGAAATAATCAATAGAAACACATGAATAAGACATGCTATAGCTTACGAGGTTTTTTTTCTAAAGAAATATTCCGGCAAAGCCAAATTAACAAAATTAAGTCACGTACACCCATTCAAATATGATTAGTTTAATTTACAACATGTATGCCTATTCCATTTCACCGCTTGCCAAACATATTACTGGCAACTGGCAAACCCCAAGTTACGAACAGATATTTGGGGTAACGTTACATATCCAAGCATCAAGGCTGTGTTTAGATTCAAACTTTGGATCCAAACTTTCAACTTTTTTCATCACATCAATATGTCATACACACACAACTTTTCAGTCACATCGTACCAATTTTAACCCAAACTTTTAATTTTAGAAGGAACTAAACACAACCCAATTTTTTTTAGGCAACCAAGCATCATTTTTTTTTTAAAAGGATCCCATCGAGTTCGGTCGGGAGGTCTATATATGGTCAAAATGACATGTCCGTGCAAAATTTGCTGCAGTCTACATTTCTCTTGTACAGTTCCACTACAGGGACAGGCAACAGCAGGCCAGGTTTGCCCCATCCAATGGCAACGCAACAGCGCAACACTGAGCAGTCACCAAATAGTCACATGCTCATCAGCATCCTCAGAAAAATCAGAGAGCAAAAAAAAGAAAAGCTATGAACAAAAAAAACATTCCACTGTTGGCTGGCTCTAACAATGGCCCAACTCCGATGGAAAGGTCCTCGATCCTCCCTCATCCACACCCCCATTTGTTCGAGCAGTTCCATCCCACAAAGCCACCCCGCTTTTCAGCTAAGCAGCTATCTGCACGACGGCACATTCTCCCCCGTCACAGAAAAAATAATCAACCTAGTATTAGATAAATATTTTATAGTATAATGAATATAAACATACTCGTATTCAGATTCATTATACTAGATTGATCTTTTTTTTTTAAACCTAGTTCCTGTGCCAAAATTTTTTTAAGTATACGGACACACATTTAAATTATTAAACGTAGCCAAATTACAGATTACTCCTATAAACTGCGAGACGAATTTATTAAGCCTAATTAATCTATTATTAACTGTAGCATCACATTGTCAAATCATAGCATAATTAGGCTCAAAAGATTCGTCTCGTAATTTACATGGAAACTGTGCAATTATTTTTTTTCTATATATTTAATGTTTCATATATATGTCCAAATATTTGATGTGACAGAAAGATTAGAAGTTTAAAGGGAGCTAAACACTGCTAATTACATCGGTACACCACCCCACACACAACATGGGGAAATTCCTTCGTCTCTCTCATCCATCATCGTCGTCATCCGGTATCGTGCATATGCATGCACCCACACACGGATGACACGATCGATCGGCGCCCGGCCGGCCCCCTACACGAATTTCTCCCGATTCTGATGAGATCTCGGGGCGGAGCTAGCGGCGGCGCGCCACTTTTTTTCCGAAGATTTGGTCCGTGTCTTCTCTTTTGGCCGGATCGATCGTCACAGGACACAGGGTGCCCTTGATTAATCGGAGATCACTCAAGGCTAGCTACCTGCAGATCATATCGCCGCTCGGAGGATTATTCGGAGATGAGATGATGTGTCTTGGACTATTGATCGGCCGTGTTCTCTGCCGGCTAGCTAGCTTCATCAGGTCGCGTTCAGATGACACGCGTTTCAGGCGTGTTAGGTACGAACCGCACAGGAGCTCCTGTCCTGTCCTGGGTATGTTGAGAGTGGAGCGGGGTACGCGTAGTACTCCCACCGTTTTAAATTACAAGTCATTTTAATTTTAGCTAAAAGTTAAACTACTTTAAATTAATCAAATTTATAGAAAAAATAGTAATATTTTTAAAATATATTATAAATTATATTCAATTATAGATTTAATGAAACTAATTTGGTTTTATAAATATTACTATATTTATTTATAAAATTAGTTAAATTTAAAGTAGTTAAACTTTGATTAAAATCAAAACGATTTATAATCTAAAACGGATGGAGCACGTAGCACACAATTAACAAGTGCAACCTGCTAAAGGTATCACGTATATATATTCCCTCCGTCTCATAATATAAGTGATTTTGGGTGGATGTGACATATCCTAGTACTACAAATCTGGATATGTTTCTTAGCCTTTTTAGTTCCAAACTTTTTCTTCAAACTTTCAACTTTTTCATCACATCAAAACTTTCCTACACACATAAACTTCTAACTTTTCCGTTACATTGTTCCAATTTCAACCAAACTTCTAATTTTGGCGTGAACTTAACACACCCTTAACCAGATTCATAATACTAGAATGTGTCACATCTACCCAAAATCTCTTATATTTTGAGACAGAGGGAGTGGCTGGTAAGAATTCAGCGTATACAGAAACAGTAAACCTCGGGGCTACACGGCTTGAAACGACCAGATTGTCCGCGGTGGATGTTTCTTTTCTTCGGAACTCCTCTCATTCCCTAGGAGGGATTTGTGCTACTCCCATATTTGTAAATATATAACACAATATATAATACTGTTAACTTTTGGACATGACATGCCACTTATTTTATTAAAAAAGTAGTGTAAATATAAAAATATAAGTTATGCCTAAATTATCCGTAATAATAAAGTAAGTAAAAAAAACCTAATTTAGTTTTTTATATAAAACTAAAGCTCCAATGTCATGTTAAAATGTCAATAATATTATATATATTTTAAAATGGAGATATTAATATTGTTACAGTATTTATATTATCCTAGAAAATTCAAAATTCCAAGTCTAAAATAGACACATTGAGAAAAACAGTGACAAATCTCTGTAGACCGAGTTTATACTTGAATATGTATGGTGTGCCGACTATCTGTACTACAACCATCTTCAGATTTTCACAATCATTAATCAAGTATAGAATAGTAATTAACAGCTGATCTGAGCTATCATGTTCCGCATCTTTGCCGCTTACCCATAGTTGATATGAGAACCGTTCTAGATTTGGCATTTTTTTACGCGATGTTTGTAAGGAGAATCACTAGCGCGAGCACGTGATGGCGGAATCTATGCCTTCTGATCTTAATTTGCCGGGGGAGTGAGGACAATAAAAGCACATGAACTTTTCAGCAACTTGGGGAATACTAATAAAGTGTGCCACGAAATGATTTTTGTACTGCTAACACTTTGTTCTTTTCAGATTATTTGTTTCATGCTTCGAAAGTTACATTTTCAGAAGAATTGTTCTATTGTCTTACTTAGAGCACTTGTTTCAAGTTATTTATTGAAACATTTAATTTATCTCTATAATCAAGTAGATAATTCGTAACAACAATATATTTAACTCATTCACTGAGCATGCAACTGGGCTCTCTCACCATGCCCTGCAAGATTTGCCGTGCAAAGCTGCCGCCTTTTTGAGCAGCAGCACAGGCACAGCACATACAGAGAATCAGGAGGCATCTCATCTCAGCATATATGGGCATCTAGCAAACCTAGCTAGCTACAAGATTAGTGGTTAACCATCCATCTTCCTGTTAGGTCTCTCCACCATATATATCAGATATCAAATCTCTAAACATATCAAAAGATACCTGAATTTTGTTATCATTATACAAAATTGGCATGCAAAATGTTTGTGGCTAGCTGCTACTGATATGCGGACTGCATATTTGCGTTGCAGCAGCAATGGCCCTCTCATTTCGTTGACATTCCTGCTAGCCACTAGGATAGTTACTCTAGGTCGCTAGAGTTGTTAGGTCTATCAAGAAAGAATTTCTATCAATTTGGAGGAGCTAATTAACTCTCGTTTTTTGCTTAGTTGGTGTCGCTGTCAAATGCCTGAAAGGAGGAGAGGTAGTAAACGCATTCCACTAGTTTTCAGTATGTATTGACTTTTTAGGTGTGGGAGGTTAGCTTATTAGATTACTTGCCGTGTTGCGATGGTTCAAGCTGTTAAACACCACTCATGGATGATAAAAAAACTCGATAATTCACCGTTTACAGAGACCATCGTCAAAAAATTCCTGGTCAGAAAACAAAACTCTTTTATCTGAACCTTTTCCTCCTTCAGCCTACTTGCTCAGATAACAATTAATACTCCTATTTGTTATACCTGAAAGTCTTCACACCTTTTCTGCTCCAGTTTACAAACTTTACATAAACATCACACGAAAACAGGCGCCTCTGCCCAAACAGTTTGACCGATTTTTGTCAACACCGATTGCACAGGAAACACCTAAACAAATCACCAATAATTCCAGGCCATGCGTTTTTTTCTTTCCCTCCGAATTGCTTATCATCTGCATGCATGATGCATGTCCATCGATCGATCCATACGTCTTTTCACCCTCTCTCCTCCCAACTAACACGAGTGGTCACTAGTCAGCACCATGGATGGATCGACCTCGAAATTCCGATATGAAAAGGCAGCGAGAGAGAGAGAGTAGTCGACGAGACGACATGGAGGGTAGGCCCAGCCGCACTATCTTTCTTTGCTAGCTTCGCTTGCTTGCTGCTCCTTTCGGCAGTTCATTCACAAGAGCAGAAGCGATCTGTGCTGCTGCTGCTGCTCATCATGTAGCAGAATTAATTAAAGGGGCTTAATTAATTGCTGGGATAATCACGATCGGATTCAGCATCAGCAGCAGCCTATAAATAAAGCCTCCAGCTCACAGGTCGCAACTTGCCATATACCACACCTAAGCTAGACAGACAGCAACAAGAAAGCAGAGAGACAGAGGTAGAGAGGCTTAGAGAGCTATTGACGTGCAATTCTTGTGCGCGTTCGCGGCAATGGATGTGGAGAGCTGCGCGTCGTCGTCGCCGCCGCCGGATGCCGCCGTCGACTGGCGCGGCCGGCCGTGCGAGCCGCGCCGCCACGGCGGCATGCGCGCCGCCGTCTTCGTGCTAGGTGAGTGCTCCTGTGCTTGAGCAGTTGAGCTAGGGACCAATATTGGTTGATCATGGCCAGTGCGTGGTGGACAATGGATGATGTGGGGTTTGATTCGGCGAATGTGTGCTGCACGCAGGGATCCAGGCGTTCGAGATCATGGCGATCGCGGCGGTGGGGAACAACCTGATAACGTACGTGTTCGGGGAGATGCACTTCCCGCTGTCGCAGGCGGCCAACGTGGTGACCAACTTCGTCGGCACCATCTTCCTACTCTCCCTCCTCGGCGGATTCCTCTCCGACTCCTACCTCGGCTGCTTCTGGACCATGCTCATCTTCGGCTTCGTCGAGCTCTCGGTACATACATACATACACCCATTCACCTCCTCAATCCTTCCCAATGTATTCAGTTCATTTCTTAGATTCTATAACTACAGTTTCTCAAAATTTAAACAAAAAGCTAGACTGTTTGGTAGAGTTTATGATTATGCGAGAAGCTACCGCTACAAACTAACTCTATATATTGAGTCTCGTACATGCAACCAAACAATCCGTTGTTAGAAGAAAAAAAATGTTTTTAGCTGACGAGGAAAGACGGATAATTCGATCGTGTTCTGTTCTGGAGCTGAGAGGGTTGAGGATCTCATGCATGCAATCAAACTGTTTGTCCTTAGAATTTTTTTTAAATAATTTAAGCTGATAAGAAAAGACGGACAATCTGTTTAAACATGAGACATTGATCGATGATGGTTTTGTGCGTGCTGCACCGAGAAAGGAAATGGAATTATGGAATGCACAGTTACTTTTTTTTGTTGTTGTTGACCGTTGTTTTCACGTAAAGAGAGAGAGAGAGAGGCGATGAACATGGATGGATGGGCCTGAAAAAAAAAGGTGCCAATCACCATGCATGGACCAGGGATTTTGTTCCCGATTGCTTAAATGTTTTCGGGACCAGGTTGAATTCAACGATGACACGGCTGCTACGGTACACGCGGCTCGCAATTCGCAGAGCAAATTGCTCTTTCTTATCTCTTTTAACGTAAAGCAAACTGATAGAGCTGCAGGACGAGCATCACATTTGCTACAGGGAAAACAACTGGCCCAGACAGAGCTGTACTACCTGTACTAAGTACTGGACACATTAGCCACTTTTTGTAGTGTTCCTACAACTTGTGTAATTCACCTAAAAATAGTAGTATTTTCTGACCATATATCATGGTTTATCTTCAAGAATCCTAATAGCATTTGAATCATATTTCCTTCACAAATGAGGAGGAAACAAATGCACATATTTGATTGCAGGTTCAGAGTTAACAACAACTTTGTGAGATCTACAGAACTAGGGCTGGTGTCAAGCGACACCGACGACTTTACACAAAAACTATAGCAAAACTGCTTATCCATATATTATAACACTATGATCTAAACATAATTAGTATACTATGATACCGATAGACATGTTATGACACCAACAAATCGATTTTCTAGATCCGCCACTATTTGCGAATGATTTTTTAAAAAACTACTCTGTTTTTTTGGGGTATATGCAGGGTTTCATACTTCTGTCGGTGCAAGCTCACCTGCCGCAGCTGAAGCCGCCGCCGTGCAACATGGCGGCCACGGACGGCGGCTGCGAGCAGGCAAGGGGCATCAAGGCGAGCATCTTCTTCGCCGCGCTCTACCTCGTGGCGCTCGGCAGCGGCTGCCTCAAGCCCAACATGATCGCGCACGGCGCCGACCAGTTCGCGGCCGCGGCCGGCGGCGGCGGCGCCGCCGCGGCGGACAATGCCAAGAGGCTCTCGACCTACTTCAATTCGGCCTACTTCAGCTTCTGCGCCGGCGAGCTCGTCGCGCTGACGGCGCTGGTCTGGGTGCAGACGCACTCCGGGATGGACGTCGGGTTCGGCATCTCCGCCGCCGCCATGGCGGCCGGGCTCGTCAGCCTCGTCTCCGGCGCCGCCTTCTACCGGAACAAGCCTCCTCAGGGCAGCATCTTCACGCCCATTGCAAGGGTAGGAAAATAAGTAATTAACACACTTTTATAATACCATTAATTCTGAAACCTTAATTTGAAACAACAATGAGCTAAAAGATTAATATGGCTTTAGTTTCAGTTTGAAGTGTTTGAAAAAAACATAGTACTAATATATTTATATTTACATAATCTCGTTGACTGTGAGCATCTAATGATGATGCAGAGGCCGGCTGCAATATTCTTCCGTCATCTTTAAAAGAAAAAGTAATGATAGGATGATACCATTCTGAAACCGTAAAATAACCGAATAACCGAAAAGATCAAGATGCTCTCGTTTGAATTTTGTTACAGCCGAGATATGTATTTGCATTAAAAAAAACTGCATATTCGTTACCAAGTTGATTTTTAAGGTCGAACAGTTGATAAGATTCTTGTCAGATTGTCAGCTACTGAACTAGGTTGCTCACTGCCTCACTAGCCCACAGGAGCCAAATGTTTTCAGACATGGTTGTCCAATTATCTTAGCAACATGATTAAGTTAAATAGCTATAGGCGAGGTGGTTTACCTGCAACCGTACAATCTCGCTGCATTCTAAAAACTGACAGAGCATGGACTGTTGTGTTAGTGGCGTGCCCATCGCCAAATTATGTTAAACAAGGGCAGTGGTTAGTGGGAGTTCCAAGAAACTGCAGTTTGTCATTTGCATGAAACTTTCTGTCATGATCATTGATATGATCACGCATTATATTATAGTCGCAACCGTGTGATTAGATAAGATATAGCTCGAATTAGTAGGTAGATGTCCTTTTGTCACCATTCAGAGTTCTTCAGAGTCAGAGTGGCTCTCCATGGCCATGCATCATGGTCGTCAGTTTTGTCATATTCTACAGTTCAGTGGTTCGAAACCAGATCATGGGCCAAAATAGTTTTTGCATCTGCTTTGTCGATCAGATCTAGTAAGATACTATGAACCGATGTGCCATCTGCTAGGTTTTGTCTGAGAGGCTGTTTAAAATGTTCTTATGATTAATTAAGTACTGTTAGCCTGTCAGTTCAGTGCAGCGATGGTTTTTGATCCTTAGCGATGATGACAGAACTGTCTGCCTATTATTTAAACTGTCACATGATCAATCATCAATATATGCAGTTGCTTTATTTTAGCATGGGTTCAATATGACAAGCTTTCTTTATGCAAGTAAGAACAGTATCATGTGTTTGCTGTTCATGTCAAATTAACACCATATTTTTTAAACAAAAATATTATAACAGTACCATGATTTTTTTTTGCAAAATGGTTTATTCTTGAAGAGCTTTTATCTTCAAAAATCTTCTCATTTCGATATAATTTTTAATTTTTTTTAAAAAAAAATCTTGCAGGTTAGTTTACCTTCAACCCTGACAATACTGATACTGTTCCTGTAGGTGTTTGTTGCCGCCTACACCAAGAGGAAGCAAATCTGCCCTTCCAGCTCCTCCGATCCCGTCAATGCCGGCGTTTGCGAGCCGGCGCACCTCGCCGGCGGCAGCTTCCGCCACGCCAGCAAGTTCAGGTGAGCTCCTCGTCCCAGCAGCCGGCGCCGGCGGCGGCGGTGCCGCGCGCCATGCACGTTGCTGCGTCTGCGTGTGACTGATCCGTGACGGAAACGTGTGCAGGTTCTTGGACAAGGCGTGCATCAGGGCGGCGGAGCAGGGGCCGAACACGAAGCCGGAGAGCCCGTGGCGGCTGTGCACGGCGGCCGAGGTGCGGCAGGCCAAGACGCTCCTCGCCGTGGCGCCCATCTTCGCGTGCACCATCGTCTTCAACACCGTGCTGGCGCAGCTGCAGACGTTCTCGGTGCAGCAGGGGAGCGCCATGGACACCGCGCTCGGCGGCGCCGGCTCCTCGTTCCGCATCCCGCCGGCGTCGCTGCAGGCCATCCCCTACGCCATGCTGCTGGCGCTCGTCCCGGCGTACGAGCTCCTCCTCGTCCCGCTCATGAGGCGCGCCACAGGGGCGCGGTCCGGGATCACCCCGCTCCAGCGGATCGGCGTGGGCCTCTGCACCGTGCCGCTCTCCATGGTCGCCGCCGCCACCGTCGAGCACAGGCGCCGCGACCTGTCCCTGTCCGCCGGCGGCGCGCCGCCGCGGGCGATGTCCGTGCTGTGGATCGTGCCGCAGTTCCTCGTGTTCGGCGTGTCGGAGATGTTCACCGCCGTGGGGCTCATCGAGTTCTTCTACAAGCAGGCGCGCGGCGCCGGCATGCAGTCCTTCCTCACGGCGCTCACCTACTGCTCCTACGCCTTCGGCTTCTACCTCAGCTCGGTGCTCGTGTCGCTCGTGAACCGTGTCACGGCGAGCCGCGGCGGCGGCGGCCATGGCGGGTGGCTCGGCGACAACGACCTGGACAAGGACAGGCTGGACCTCTTCTACTGGATGCTCGCCGTGCTCAGCGTGATCAACTTCTTCTGCTACCTGCTCTGCGCGAGGTGGTACAACTCCGGCGGCGCCGACGACGGCTGCGACGCCTCCGCCTCCGCTCAGGTCGCCGCCGAAGGCGACGGCAACGGCAAGGAGATCATCTGAAGAAAAAAAAACATAGAATTATAATTCTATGCGACTGAAAACTGTATATGCGTATAGCTGTAATGTATGTATGTATGTATGTATGTATGTATGTATGTATGTATGTATGTATACATGCACGAGGAATAGTGGCAAGAAATGAAGAAAATGAGTAATGCTAGGTTGAAATTATAAGGCTCTACTTTGATAAGGAATAGGAAATACATTATGCTTTGCCTTGGAGACGAACGTAGCAGGAGTACTACTATTTAGAAAAACTTAATTTGACCATTAAGCATGCAGTGAAATGATGAATTAAGATTTGTAAGAAAAATATTTGAGACGGCAGCTCTTTAAAGAGAGTGAAACCAACAATTTCAGAGTTTTCATGTTCAGTATGCAACAGGCGCAAATTCATTCAGATTAACGAAGCATGAAAGATACTGCACAATTCATGGGTGGCAATTTCAGAGTTCGGCCCAGGTCTTCACGTCTTGATCTCGTCAAGAATTTTTTTTTAAAAAAAAACATACACACACACTCTGCAGTGGAACGACAACATATAAACGGAGCATGCATCAAACAGTGTTGGCTCAGCCCAGGAAAACTCTCACACTCACGAACACAAACGCCGGTGAGGGAGACGATGAACAATGGATTTTACAGCGACGAACGCCGCGGAGCCGATCGCTCCTGTATCTTGGCTTTATTACTCACTGAACCTTGCAAAGAAACAACGAAGGAGTACAGGGGTCTCTTATAGACCGGTGACACACCGGGAGCTAGCCTCCATGCCGGCCATTGCGCCACGTTCCGCAGAACCCGCTCGACGTCGCCGTGAGCCACACGCTCGCCCGGACGACGCGGCTTCCTCCGCAAGAACCGACGCCACGCACACCATGCACACCCACGACTCGATCAACACTGCAACGGCCATGCAAACAACCATGCAGCAGCCATGCACTCGTGATCACGACTCAACCAAACTAACAGAACGCACACGTACGCACACATGCAGCAGCACGACACACACACACTGACTCAACCACGCCAGGAATACACCATGACGTGTTTATTTCCAACAAACAGGAACTTCAAAGTCTTCAGTAGCAGCAGGCAAAATTCATCCGGTTAACAACAATGCTCCAAGGGCCGAACTCTCCCAACAGAAGATCGGACGAGTTAAAGAATGATGCAACCGCTTTGTTTCTGCCTTTCTTCTCTCTCCTTCTCCAGATCATCTCTAAGCCTGCGAATCTCCTCCTCCCTTTCTTCTCTGTCCTTCTCCATCTTCTCTTTAAGCTTCTGAATCTCAGCTTCTGTTTGCTTCTCCTGTTCTTTACTAGCCTTCTCCGATTCTCTAAATCTCTTGTTTTCCTCTCGAGCATTGTTACTCTCTTGTTCAGCCTTCTCTAGGCTCAGCCTCAGTCTCCTGATGTCCTCTTCTGATCTTAGGATTGCCTTCGTCATCTCGTTCTGTATATCCAGCCTCGCTTCCTGCTCTTTCAGAAGCTGTTGTTCCATCCTCAGGATTGTACCGTTTAGCTTTTCTTCTACCTATTGAATCATATGCAGAATCAGATCAGGTATTTAATCAATAGGAATAATAGTAGCTGATAACAAAATGAGATAATTGCTTATTTGACCCTCTTTTGAAGACTAACTACTAAACTGACCTCACTTTTTTACGTTTGCTCATTTGACTCCGCTTTTTCAAAATCGTAGTAACCGTTTGACCCTCTTTTAACTCCACAGTTATATTCAATGAAAAGATACAATCTCGTGTTGTTTTTCCGTAGAAAAATAGTAGCTCATAATAACTGAATTAGTACTCCATCCAAAAGTCTAACACCCAGTGGCGGAATTTTTTTTTTTGGAGGGGGGGGGGGGGCGCTCAATTACACAGTTTCTTCAACCTCCAGACATTTATGGACCTTTAGTTTATCATTCATGGTGAAAAAAAATAAAGGGGGTGCTCCGGGGGGTATCCATGGGTCTTGTGGGTGTGGGGGGACTCGAGTCCCCCCTGCACTCACGTTGGATCCGCCCCTGCTAACACCTATTTTATTTTTTGGTTTTTTTTCCAAAAGTCTAAGATTTATATGTGGATTCTATGTGCTAAATTAAATTGTTGATCGGAACCCAAGAAAACCTTCTTTGTACTTATTGGTTGCATGATTGTGTATAGTTTATTTGTTTTGTCACATGGTGGATGAGTTAATTACTCCTTGATCTTAGTGAGAAGAAATATGTCTTAGACTTTTGGATGGAGGGAGTATTACGTAAGCACAAAAATAGCGCTATAATTAATAGAACCCCACAATAATATTTACTGCCCCCTTAATATTTTCCCAAGTCCCAATTAAATATATGATCTGTATCTGTATTATGTAGTACTCCCTCCATCTATTTTTGATAATCATATTTCCAAATCTGGAAATTTTGTTTTTGATAGGCATATTTCAATCCAACAACCTATCATCTTAATGATTTTCTCGAATTTAATGCGTGACTCTCCATTCTTCCACACATGATTGGCTACATGGGCTTTGAGAAATGTAAATATTAATGAATCGCTTGTTTACGAGGAATGACTAGTAGCATGCTTAAATGAATGATAAGTAAAATTATTTATCCTTGGTCTGTGTGTCAAAATAAAATATGACTATCAAAAGTAGTTGGAGGGAGTAGTAAGCTAGCGTAACCAATGATATGCAAAGTTCACAAAATTGCTATCTGTTACTAAAAAAATGTTCTTCTGTTCTCGGTGGACAATCACATCTACATGTTCCTGAATTTATAAAACTTGTTATATTATATGCATTACAAATGCCTTACCATCTTGGTTATGAGTGAAATGTAACTGTCAGTCTCTTGCATTGATGAATACACCTCAGAATTGGCATCTTTCTGTCTGTGATGCACCTCCTGCAACAAAGAAACGAGATCAAACAAGAGAAATTAAAATATCAATGGTAATTTAATAGAAGCTCACCTGAATCTGAGTAAACAGCTGATTTGAAAATGGTTTCCCATGATTGCTTGATACGACAAAGTCCACTGCATCAAGCATTTTTTTCCGCTGCGCCTGGCGGTCCTGAGTACTACTGGTCTTATTCTCGAAAAGAACCACCCTATTTTCAAACAACTTGAGAATGTCCTGTAAACAAAATCACGCTCAAATAGTCAAATGTAACCCACAAGCCGTCAAGCACCCAAACATCGAACTCATCAAAAGAAAATACATATAGCTACCTAGACAGCTAGTTTTACACTAGAAAATATGGCATCTCTCGGTATATTATTAAGGATGATAAAATTACCATCAAATCAAACTATACAAAACACAATACAAGCGATACAGTTTGACAATTGTGAAGTATACCTGAAGATATGTAGGGGCACTGTCAGATAACATATTTTTCCAACTGGTCTCCCCACCTACTTCATCTCCGCGTGTGAAAACCAATATCATATGGTCAAGGATTTTATCGCCGAAGAACGATTTCAGAGTCTCGATCGTCTTCTCATCTTCACAGGAAAAGCGAGATGTTGCTGAAAAAACCATGAGCATCGCATGTATCCCATCTTTGGCCATGTCCATACACTTGACGATCTCTCTACGCACATCCTCAGCTTTAATGTCCATGTCGAATAAACCTATCCGAGCAAGAGAGCACGAGCAGGTCTTCAGAATTAAACCATATGCCACTGATCTTAATTTATCCATACACAAAACTAAAGCAGGGCAATTACCAACATAACAAGCAGAGAACTCTGCACCTAAGCAAATATAACAAATACATATTTTTCTTTTTCAGATAAATGGGATTTCATTCTTCCGGCACCTTAATTAGATAAATTTCTTGATTAGTGTATACGCCCATGCTGCTGTAGTGAGAATGAATTTAGGCTGTGTTCTTTCCCCTAGTTATCCCAACTCATCTCTATCATTCTCTGCGGGTAACTTTTCAAACTATTAAACTGTGTATTTCTTTAAAAAAAATTATATACAAAAGTTGTTCTAAAAAATCATATTAATTATTTTTTTAAAAAATAGTTAATACTTAATTAATCATGCAATATTAGGGGTTCAGCCTAAAACTACTCATCAAAATAGCAACATCAGTAATCTTGCACTGTTATTTCTTACCTGGAGTGTCAATGACGTTGATAGTGCGGATCAAGCAGCCATCCTGAACCGTGGTGCTCTTCTTCTGGCAGGTTTGCGTGACACCGGCATAGGAACACTTGGACTCGAACGCTTCGTCTCCAAGGATGCTGTTCGCCGTCGCGCTCTTCCCGGAGCCGACCTTCCCGACGAGAACGAGTGTGACGTCGGCGAGCGCGGCGCCGGCGGCCAGCTCCCAGTCGTCGTCGTCGTCGTCGTGGTTGTCGACGCGATTCTCGCCGCCGCCGCCGCCCATGATGGGATCGATCGAGAGCTGAGAGATCACCGGAGTAGCTGAAACTGAAAGAGAAACTGGGAATTTTCGAGTTGGGAGAAGCGAGGAAGATGAAGGCGAATGGAGGAGGACGTGATTAATACAAGCGGCGGAGAGAGATTTGCCTCGGAAGCTGGAGAGTGTGGAATCCGAAACGGCGAAGAGATTTGCAGCGTGGTGCGCTTCACCTGTTCGAGCAAGTTTAACAGTATAGCCCATTATTAGCTCCAAATCATCGAGCCAATATACTTCCTCCATTTCACAATGCAAGTCATTCCAGTATTTCTCACATTCATATTGATGTTAATAATTCATTAACATCAATATGAATGTGAGAAATACTAGAATGACTTGCATTGTGAAACAGAGGGAGTAATAATCAATTCATACAATACTTGCTTACTATACTATTAATATCTGGTCTCACTTATCATACATACATTACGTTTTGGAGTCCGTGCTGTAGCTGGCTACATATATGTATGTAGCCCGCTGTTTTTCTATCTATTTCTTTATCTTTTTAAAAAATGTTTATAGCTGGTTTATAGCGTGCTATTGTACCTGCTCACGTCGGATTGCTGCCGCTCCGTATTCCTCTTGGTGGGCCGAAAATCTAGATAAGCCCAAGCCCAGTTCGGCCCAGGCCTTTCACGGGTGAAGCCCTAAAACACCGAAAGCCTCGTCTCCGCCGCGCGTGCATGGCCGATCGAACGACGACGGCGACGATGATTCCGGCGGCCTCGTCCTCGAGGAAGCGCGCGCGGGTCCCCACCACCGGCGCAGGAGACGGCGGCGGCGGCGGCGAAGGGCGGCTGGGGGAGCTCCCGGACGAGCTCCTCCTCAGCATCCTCTCCTGCCTCACCACGAGGCAGGCGGTGCAGACGAGCGTGCTGTCGCGGCGGTGGCGCCACCTCTGGCGCTCCACGCCGCGCTTCGACGTCGACCTCGCCGAGTTCGCTCGTCCGCCACCGTCGTCGGCGCCGTGGCTCCTCCACGGACGCGGCAGTACCGACCCGTGGGAGAGGCTCCGAGGTTTCACCGCCAGGCTGCTCATGTACCACGCCGCCCCGGTGCTCGACGCGTTCCGCCTGCGCGTCGCCACCCCCTTCCACCGCCGCGCGGACGTCGAGAGCTGGGTTCGCCGCGGGATCCGCCGCCGGCCCGCCGCGCTCGAGCTCGCCGTGGGGCCGCCGCCCGGCCGCTTCGCCGCGTTCGCGCCCCCCAGCCTCCCCGTCCCGCCTGACACGGCTGCGCCTCCGCGGCGTCGTCCTGGAGTCCGCCTTCGCCGGCGACCTATTGTCCGGCTGCCCCGCGCTGGTGGACATGGAGCTCGACCGGTGCAAGTGCTTCTTCCACGAGCTCAGCTCCGCCACGCTGCGGAGCTTGGCCATGGAGTCGTGCCTCTGGATGCGGAGACCGTCGGGCACGAATGGCGACAGGACCGTGTCCGTCGTGGCGCCTCGGCTCGCTTATCTTCGCCTGCTCACCTTCGGCCATGGCGATTGCAAGGTTTTCCGTTTCGAGAGTGGCGACTCCATCTCCGAGGTCTCGATCCGCGGAGGTTTCAACCTGATCAATCTGTTCAGGCTCCTCCGCATGATGCCCAACGTCACGACTCTCAGATTGTCAGGATTTGGTCCAACTGTGCGTATATCCTCTCTTAATTACTCATCGATCGTTTCTTACAATTCAGAATACTAGTATAAATGATCGTTTCTTGTGTATAATATGATCGCTTAATTATGTTCAGCTATCTTCTTTTTTATGTATGTATTACTAACGATGCTGTTCTTCCCGAGCTGCATGAAAAAGAGAATTTTTGTAGTTTACAAATCATTGGCTCTCTGCGTGATGGTAAGCTCAATTCTGCTCCTGTTTCTGTGTATCAGTCAGTATCTGCGAGAATGTTCAGAAAATTTCCCAGACCTCCACAATCTGACAACCTTGCTCTTGGATAGATGTGTTATGAACTACAAGTTTCAGATATTGCGCCTCTTCCTGCAGAATACCCCTACCCTGGAGAAAGTAATTCTAAAGAACTGCGAGGTACTTTGTTTGTGTGTGTGTGTCTATATATATATATATATATATATATATATATATATATATATATATATTATACTAGAAAACATGCCCGTGCGTTGCCACGGGTGAATGTTATTTTAATCTTATTATTGTTATACGGTTTAGCTAGTATGAATTTCACTTTGGAATTCGCTTAGATATTTTTTAAGAAAATCATGAACTGCAATTAAGAGTATGACTTTCATCTTGAGTTAGCATGCGAGTTTTTTAAAAGGGATTTCTTATACGACACCTTTAATATTTCTAAGCAAACGAATTTAAAATCTGACTCAAACACGGATCTGTATTTTCAAAAGCGAACGGACTAAAAAACTGACTCCAATACGGGTGACGTACCAAAATACCAGCAAAAACATGTTCAATTTTTCATCATTTCTGCCCAATTGTGATATGTAGTTTAGGATTTTAATTTATTTCAATGAATGTTATTTACAACACGTTGCAACGCACGGGCATTTTCTTAATAAGAGGAGGTGATAAAATGTATAAAAACATAGTAGGAAATTTAATATGAATTTTCAAACATATGGATGTACTTTAAAAAAATATAATCAGTTTAGGAGAGAAAAAAATTGGAGAGGATAAGCATCATTGGTGATAAAGTGTAGAAAAACACGGTAGGAAATTACATATGTTTCTGGTTTAGTATTAATTTCAAACATATGGACATACTTTTCAAAAAAATAATAATAAGAGGAGGTGATAAAGTGTAGAAAAACATAATAGTAAATTACATTTATTGCTGGTTTAATATGAATTTCAAAATATGGGTGTACTTTTGAAAAAAAAAATATAATCTGCTTTGGAGAGAAAAAGAAAAAATTATATGGACATACTTTTCAAAAATATAATAATAAGAAGAGGTGATAAAGTGTAGAAAAACACAATAGTAAATTACATATATTGCTGGTTTAATATGAATTTCAAAATATGGGTGTACTTTTGAAAAAAATATAATCTGCTTTGGAGAGAAAGAAAAAATTGGAGAGGATAAGCAGCATAAATCTGAGGGGTGATGGGAGTCGAACTCCAAACCTTTGGGCCAGAAGTTTCATCACCTAACCAACTGAGAACGTGGATGGTTGTGCTATAATGTGTTGCTATTGTTATTTGGAGTCCTACACGCACGGACGAAAATTAATGGAATCGATCGCTCGTGCGGATAAAACGGATGACGGATGGAATTTTTCACGGAAGCCTTGCGTATTTTTTAATTATATATATATAATATATATATATTGCCAATGGTTATAAGCTGTGCTTTTTTTTTTTTATAATGGTTTTGTCATTTCTGAACTTTTTGTGGCAACTGCACAGACCTGTGACGTGCTTCCTCGTACGGATGATTCTTTGTTGCTACTCCAGCTAGTCTCAGCTCCAAAAAAGTATAGTCAACAACTATGAACATGATTTTACTTTAACTGACCGTGCGTAGAAATCATTTAAAATATATGCTTTTTAATACGTAAATGTTACATTTCAGTTTAGCGTAACAAGAAATTTCATAATATTATGCTTATATGTAATTATTTTCTAATTTACGCTAACTAGTACTCCTCCTTCCAAAAATCTGAGACCTATTTCATTCTTAGGTTTTTCTAAAAATCTAAGTCTTGTTTGTAGTCACTATGTGCTAAATTAAATTGTTGATCGAAAACCAAGAAGCCATTCTAATACTTATTGGTTGCATGTTCATTGGATTTGCCACATGGTGAGTGAGTTAATTATTTCTTGGTATTGATGAAAAAGAAATAGGTCTCAGTTTTTTGGAAGGAGGGAGTAACTAACTACTCCCTCCGTTTCAGTTTATAAGACGTTTTGACTTCTGCTTTAAGTTTAACCAAGTTTGTAGAAAAAATAGTAATATTTATAATATTAAATTAGTTTCATTAAATCAATAATTAAATATATTTTCATAATAAATTTGTCTTGGGTTAAAAATGTTACTTTTTTTATATAAACTTGGTTAAATTTAAAACAATTTGACTTTAATCAAAGTAAAAAAAAAGTCTTATATCCTAAAACAAAACGGGGGAGTACCTCACTATATACATGTGGTTTATTGCAAAGTATTGTCATCACAGACCATTCTTTGAACCTGAAGAACGGAATGCCCTAAAATATGGCTCAACCATGACATTTTCCGTTCTGTGTTACCTTCACTCTTTTCTTTAATCCGAGCCGTTGTCTTTGCCTATGGAATTAATGATCGGGTAGTTAGATACAGTAGATATAATATGTCAAGATAAGAAGGGATAAACAGATTCTCTCAGATATTTTATACCCGCTTATATATGGAACACTCAAATCATTCCCTAAGGAGATATCTCCTTATTTTTACATGTCATTTAGAAAATCATCAAAAAATTTGAAAAAAATTTTAGTAGGGTAGATCAATACTCCCTCCGTACTCGTAAAAAAAGTCGTTTTGGACAGCGACACGGTCTCCAAAACACAACTTTGACTTCTTTTTTCTATAAAAATATTTATTGAAAAGTGATATATGTATACTTTTATGAAAGTATTTTTCAAGGCAAATCTATTCATATAATTTTTACATTTTCAAACTCAATAACTTGAGAGTTATTCATGATTTATATTTCCAAGGTTTGACTTAAACATTGTCCTAAAAGACTTCCTTTATGAGTACGGAAGGAGTATGTGATATGTCATTTCACAAACATGCAAATTCAACTTATACAAGTATAAACAAAAATAACAAATTTGATTATGAATAGAACGCGTAATTCATTGTTAAATTTGTTATTTTTTTGTTTCGAATTGTATAAGTCGAATTTTAAGTCGCATGTTTACGAGAAGATAAATCATATATTGATCTATCTTGACAAATTTCTACATTTTTTTAATATTTTATGATGACAAGCATAAAACGAGGGGATGTCCTTTCGAGGGATAAAAATCCACTTCCCGTGTATATATATATGTATCTCCCGAAATTACTGAGCACAGTTACCGCCGGCAACGACGACATCTCGATCGTACCTGCCTGCGATGGAGCCCGTAGCCAAGCGCCGCCGTCGACGCCAACGCCACCGTAGCGGCGGACGATCAACATCCACCACCGGCGGCGAGGACCGGCTAGGCGCCCTTCCGGACGACCTCCTCCACGCCGTCATGTCCTTCGTGGCGGCCCGGGAGGTCGTGCGGACGTGCGTGCTCTCCAAGCGGTGGAGGCACCTGTGGCGCTCGGCGCCGTTCCTCAACCTCGACGGCGCGGAGTTCATGCCCCTCCTCGGTGGCGGCTCTCCCGGCTAGTGGGAGAGGATGGACGCCTTCGTCACCACCCTGCTCAGGCTCAGATCCCGCGACGAGACGGCCGTGGACTCGTTCCGCCTCTTCGTGGATCACCTCGGCGCCGCCCGGCGTGAATCCGTCGAGAGATGGGTCCGCGCCGCCGCCGGGCTCCGGCCACGGTGCTCGAGATCAACGTCGTCACCCCCTCGTATCCCCCCGGCCACTACGACGGCTACACCATGCCGGATCTGATCATCACCTCCCGCGCATGGCGGCGCCTCACGAGATTGCACCTGTCCCACGCGTGGCTGGACGGCGGCTTCGGCGAGCAGCTCGGCGACGGCTGCCCTCTCCTCGAGGACCTGGCGCTCCGCAGGTGCGCCATGGCGCCGGGGTTCCGCCGCATCCGGTGCGGCTCGCTGAGGACGCTCGTGCTCCACTACACGGGCTGTGGTGGCGGCGACGCCGGCGGCGGCGACGAGGAGGAGGAGGAGGAGACGCTGGTGATCAGCGCGCCGCGCCTCGCCTCCGTGCGCGTGAAGATCACGTCGTACGCGTGCAGGCATGGCGTTTCGTTCGATGGCTCCACGGCGGATTCGCTCGTGGAGGCGTCGATCAGGGTGGGGCGGCGGCGGCGGCGGCGCGCGTTGCCGACGGGGGTTGAAGCCGTGCTTCTCGCCGGCATGGTAAATGTGACGACCTTGAGCTCGAAGGTATACAGGCAAAGGTAAGGCGCCCCTAGTTTGCTGGAATTATGGAAGTACTACTTTAATTTGCCTTTACAAAAGTGTTTATGTTCCATGTATGATTTGGGCTCTGTTTGTCCCGGCTCCAAATTTTTTTAAGCTATGTTTTATTAATCACAGTCCCAAAATGTCCTCCAACTTTTTTTTAACCTATGTTTTCTTAGTCCCAAAATAATATCTTGAAAGGCGGGAATTAAATTTTTGAAATATGTATGGAAATACACATTGCCCATGGGTTGAAGTCGGGCCACTGCTCCGTAAGTGCAGCGGGAAAGGAGTGAAAGTGACGACAGGGACGGTCCAGCAAATTGGTCACGCTCAACCGCACGTGTTCCTACGGATTGGTCACGCGAGACCGACCGCCTCCATGCCACATTCATGACAGCGCGTATGTGCTGCGCAGGACCAATGCGGTCGCGTGTGTTTGCTCCGCGCCACCACCCCCTCCCCTCAGTCCCACATCTTCCAGCATCGCTGGTGGTATGGCCCCAACTCGCAGGAAATGCATATTTTCGTAAATATTTTAAAAACATGTGTGTATGCAAAATTATGAAAAATAATGTTACTTTAAATTTTAATTCGTAAAGTTGGAGCTGTTAATATATTAGGTTTTTAGAATGGCATTTTGTTAAAATTTTACATCAAAAAGAGAATCATCTATAGTCGACTTAATGACCAACTCATACAATAGTTACCTATAAACATATACTATATAACTAATATCTGGTCTCATCTGTCATACACACATACACCTTAAAGTTAGTACTACAGCCGGTTACAAATCTGGCCCACTACTATTCTCATAACTAATATCTGGTCCTATCTGTCATACACACATACACCTTAAAGTCAGTACTATTTACAAATCTAGCCCACTACTATTTTCTCTTATCTTTTATCTCCTCGAAATATGTTTATAGCTGGTTTATAGCCTGCTATTCTACCTGTTCCGAGGAGTCGAAAAAAAATACACGAATTACCCATCCACGTATCTACAGTTCTACACTGTTGCCGTTATCCCCTTCTCTTCCAAATTTCTCGCCCCCAAAACCCTCTCCTCTGCACAGCTCCTTGCCGCACGTGCCACGCGCCCGTGCAGAACTGCAGGACTTCCGCCATGGAGCCCGTCGCCAAGCGGCCGTCCCGTGCGGGCGGAGGCGGGTCCGCCGCCGGCGATCGGCTGAGCGCCCTGCCGGATGGCCTCCTCCACGCCGTCATGTCCTTCCTCCCCGCGCCCGGCAAGCCGTGCAGACCTGCGTGCTCTCCAAGAGGTGGGTACACCTCTGGCGCTCCATGCCTTGCCTCAACCTCCAAACCCCGGGAGTTCCCGGGATCCATCGAGTATTGGGGACCCAACGAGAAATGGGGGAAAGTGCTGGATTTCACCACCAACCTTCTGATGTTTCACCATATGCTCCCTCTCTAGACGCGTTCCGGATTGATACAGGAATGGATCTGATGAACCCTGGCCATTTTCGGCATGTCGATCGATGGATCCGTGGTGGCATGAAGTACTGTCCACAAGTGGTAGACATCCATGTTGGTATCTGCCTCAAGTATGAACTGCCCCATCTAGGATCCTCGAGCTCCTGTCGTCTCAAGAGGTTGCGCCTTCCTGAGAGCTGAGAACTTTTACGGTACAATATACTACCCATATATACTGGCAGTATATAAAAGGGCATATTAGGAATTTGATAGAAAAATAAAACAACACTTTAGTAATTTTTGGTTCAAATTGAATCTAATTGAGAGTACCTGATCCTGGATCTTATCGTGCACTAGGGGAGGAGCATACTGAGCGTCATTTGATGACAAAACACATGACGATAGCACGATTTAACGATAGTATAACGAAGAAAAGACAAAATTACCCTTTCAAAGTTTATACTGCAATCTAATTAAATAAAAAATTAAATCAATCTACACCGTTAGATCATATATACTAGCAGTATATTGTACCGTAAAAATCCTCTTCTTCTGTGGCTTTGGATAGTCGTTTCGCGGAGCACCTACGCGCTGGCTGCCCTGTTCTGGAATACCTGGAGCTCGCTTACTGCCGCACTGAGTTTAGCCACATTCGATCTGGCACGTTGAAGAACTTGGCTATTGAATATTGCTCATCTCGCTCCATACATAGCTTGGTTATCATTGCTCCTCGTCCCTGCGTCTACTCATTCGGGTTAGGGATGGTACTGTTTCATTGTATGGGGTGAATTCCCTTGTGGAGGCATCGATTGATGTAAGTAACTGTCAAATGTCGCCAAGCGGCGAGGCCATGCTTCTCGGTGCCCTGTTCAGTGCCACCAATTTGGAGTTGAAGGGTACTCGGGCAATGGTAAGCCTTCCTTATGGGAGATCTTATCTCGTGTGTGTGTATAAGAAGTGAAATTCTATGATTTCGTTGTTTTAACGACCTGCTGCCCTAAGTTTTGAAATCTTGTATTTCAGGCAATACTGGATGAGGAATTGGATAAATTCCCATTATTCAACAACCTGAGAAACTTGTCACTACACTGTTGTCTTCGAGACAAAGGTAATTTGAGTGACAGATTCAAGGCTCTTGGAAGATTACTACAAAAGTCTCTTAATTTGGAGAAGCTTACTTTGCAGGATTTCTGGGTATGACTTTGGTCTTTAGCTACTTTGTGTTTGTGTTTCTTTTCTTTACCTTTCTGAACTTACAAATTCTTATGCCTACCAAAGTTTTTAGGGGGCTCTGAGACTGAGAGGGCAAAGCAAAAGACCAGTACCTGTGTGCCTCTCAAAAATCAGGATCAAGTGTCTTTCCAATGTCAGAAGTTGAAGTTGATTGAAATCAAATATAACAATGAACTTCGCTGTGATCACCAACTGTTTCAACTTATGTGGGCTTTCTGGAGAAACCTAAAGAAGACTAGGATCGTTCTTACCAAAATATAGAGAAGCCCCTGGTATGGTACTTTCACGAGTGATTCTCTTCCCTATACACTCCTGAAGTTTGGCATATGCAATGCCATTTTTGGTTCTGCTTGTTGATGGAGTAGAACCATCTATTATCAACTCTCTTCTAAATGATATATGTATTTGCGCTATTAATAGAGGCATAGCAGTGTGGTAAACTACTTTTTGTTGAACGTAGTAGCGGCATAGAAGACAGTTGGATGTAACAACAAACAAGTAACTGATGATTTCAATTTATGGAACCAGTAGTATCAAGTAGCAACTAAATGTTATCTTTATGTTGCATATATGCCCACCACCTTTACAAGTAACTGACTGTTTGTTTTCGATCAAGGGAAGTGGCAGCAATCTACTGGGCATTTGGATATTGTCAGTTATGGTGTAAATGTGTCATTCTGTCTGTAACTAGTGGTGTTTGTAGTGCTTATATCTCATTACAAAATTGCATAAATCCCATACTTCTTCAGGCATCATGGTGCAGAAATACAAGTTCTGTTCTAGGAAAAATTCAGGTGCTCGTGTTGCTTCTGTTTATCCCCATCCTTTTACATGTTGCATCAGACTTAAATTAATTTGGTATTCCATGCACATATGACACATTCGGTTATTATTTTCTAGGTTTGATAACTAATAAACTGATGCAATATCCACTTTTTTAAGAAATAATTTTGTGTATGTCAATATCAGAAGTTAAGTCCATTAAACAAAAGACCCTGAAATCAACCACAAACAAACTATTCGTACTTTTAGACATATTTGACTTCTCCAAATATTGCAGGCAAAATCTATCCTATTAGCAAATCTCTTTCCCCAATGAGATATTATGTATGGAGTAGCTGCATGAGTTGGCAATTTTTGGCATGAAACAAAAACAGTTGGCTACTCCGATTACACTTTCGGTTAACATTTAAAAAATTGGTAATTTTCTACTACCTCCATCCCAAAATAATTGTAATTCTATGTTGTTTAGCATATATTAAGGTTCGATAAGAAAGACTATGGTGCCCTTCATTAAATGGTGTTTATGTGAGAGTGGAAAGATGGATGAGGGTAAAATAGGGAGAAATTTGAATAAGAGATGATTGATGGGGCAATTAGTACTCTAGAATTACTATTATTTTGGGACAAATTTTAAATCCTAGAAATATAATTATTTTGGGACGGAGGTAGTAGATTATACTTTCGGTTCAATTAGAGAGATAAATTGTTAAGAAAAACGATAATACCATTAGGACCACATGCTTCAAACACGACATTAGAGTAAAAATTTAGAAACTATGCAACTTTAATTTTGCCTTCACCCTAAGTACACCACTAGTATGCATCATATTCCATCTTCACTCCAGCTTCAGCTCAAAAGCTTTTAACCCTAGGGGCATTTTCTTTTAACTCTAGGGGCATTTTTGTCTCTTTGAAGAATTTATCTCTAATTGAGTCAAAAATGTCCTCCAGCAAATTCTTAGTTTTTATAGTCTTTCAGTTGTGACATGTTTTTATGATATCTATCAACAAATTACACCAATTTTAAGTATTATGTAGCAAATTTTATCTTTTTTTAATGTATATACACTATACTAGTACAAAGTTTTCATAATGTATTGATCTCAGCCCGTTTACATTTTTTCATGACAGTCAGAAATTTACGTACACATACATACAAACTTTATACGCGTATATACAAACTTTATATATATGCATGCAAACTTTTATGTCTAAAATATGTACTCATAAAATTTTGGTGCGGCATAAAGTATGTCAGTATGTACACATAAAGTTTTGGTGCGGCACGGCTGCAAGAGCTACGACTGATGCGGCGGCGCAACGTAGCAGCCAGGGCGCGGTGCGGTTGCGCGCGGTGTAGGTGATAGGAGTAGGAGTGTAGGACTAAGGCTGATGCTGCGGCCAATGCATGCGGTGCAACGATGGCAAGGCGCACAGTGCAATGACGACGAGGCAAACGGCGGCCGGCATGTTTTTGGACGCAACATTCGATGTAGCTACTCGTCGTGGTGGCCACTCAACTTCCCAGCAGATTGTGGAGTGCAGCCTCATGCCCTCATCGGCTGCACCTTATCCTCATCCATCGCTGCCACCACGACCTCCATTTCTTCGGCCACCTCACCCACACCCACTCACTCGCCCTTGTCATCCGTTGGGATCAAGAGCATCCCCAGCGGATACTCCATCGCGTCCTCTATCCACAAAATAGAGGTTCGGAGTAGAAAAAAGAGCTCCAGCAGATACTCCATCCCATAATCCAAATTTAGCTCATCCTCCATCCGGGGAGAGAGAAACGTCAACTTTAGCGTTTCTCTCTCCTCACACCATCCTGTAACCGCCAGCGTCCACAACCAATCTCCCGCCCCCATTCGGATCAATGCCTTCCACCGAAGTTTCCTCTTCCTCTACTCGTTTTTGGTGGCGATGGGGACTAGAGTGGAGGAGTAAAGCTAGAGATCAAGGAAGAGGCATACCAGATCTGAAAGGAGAGGGAGGGTGTAGCCGCCCCCCGCCGGCCACCTGCCGCCGCCGAGATGCGACGCTAGCAGACGCCGTCCTTCGCCTGCTGCCTCTGCCCCTGCGCCCCTCCGTGTCGGTGCCCAACAACCCGAGCGGCGGCCGCCTCCGTCGCGCCGCCCAGCAGCCCGGCCCTCGCCCTCCCTCGTTGCTCCGCCCTGCCCCGCCGCCTTGCTCGCCGCCCGTGTCGTCCCGCATCGCCCTCGCCACTCCGTCTCCACTCGCGGGAGTAGCGGGCTACAGATCTGTAGTCAGCTGCAGCACGAACTCTAAGACGCAATGTGTGTATGACGGTGGGACTATATATTGATAGTATAGTAAGCAATTATTGTACGAATTGATTATTAGATTGACTACATATGAATTGGAGTTGATAGTGGACTATACTATTAAACTTGCTCTAAGCGAGAGGATAAGTCCGTTTGCTAGCGAGAGGATATTCGTAGCCTCTCCGTCTCCCACTCATGTACTGTAGCTCTTAGATTTTTGCTATTAATAATTTTTCTTCCATTATTATTACGATTAATAACACAGTTAAAACAGTTAAAATTTAGTAGTTTAAAATATATTCCTTAAAAACACAAATATAAGCTTAGTTAGAAGATATTACTAAAATATATAGAAGGGTGGAATATAGATGATGTAATATAGATGATCTGTTGGAATGAGAAGGAATATGAATGATGAATCTTTTTTTGGATGACCAACCATATAGATATTTGAAGGATCAAATATGGATGAGCTACTGGGGATGCTCCAAGCCAAGCCGAGCCAAATAGCCCAGCAATCCAAATTTATGTTTGGTTAGAATAAAATGCAAATTCTCTTTTCACGCCCCTAATCATGACTAACCCATCAATTTAGAAGGAGAATGTAATGGAAGTGCTATAAGTAGAAGAAAAATGCTTCTGGTTGAAAGGAGAAAAATGAAAGGAGAAAAAATTTATATCATTTTTTGGTACCGGTGTTTTTTCTGTGCTATTGATCACATTTTCTCAAATAAAATAAAATAAGTTCCATGAACATATCTACTGGCGGTATCCTCTTTCTCCCTAAACTTCTCTCTCTTTCTCTAGCCCCCCAAAACCCTCGGCAGCCGACGGCGTCGCGATCCTTCCTAATCGACGGCGGCGGTGCGGCTGGTCTGGAGCGGCGGTGCTGAGGCCGGCGGAGTCATGTAAGTAAACCTAGCCTCGTCGGAGCCGGATCCGCCGGCGATCGGCTGAGCGCTCTGCCGGATGGCCTCCTCCACGCCATCTTGTCCTCCCTCTCCACCCGGCAGGCGGTGCAGACGTGCGTGCTGTCCGAGAGGTGGAGGGATCTGTGGTGGTTTGGTTATCAGTGCTCCTCGTCTTGCTTCCCTGCGCCTGGACATTCCGTACTACACCCATAAGAACGGTGTGTTGTTAAATGGGGCGAATTCTCTTGTGGGTGCTTCTGTTAGTGTAATACCTTGCCAAATCTCGCCAGAAGGTCAAGCCACGCTTCTTTGAGGCCTGTTCAATGTGACCAATTTGGAGTTGGACGGTATTCAGGCAATGGTAAGCCCACTAGAGATATCTTTTGTTCCATGCATAACTCCATAGCTATTATAACTCCATAACAATTTGTAAGACCTGCCGACCTCGGTTAGCTGACCTTACTTTTGATATCTGAATTTCAGACAATGCTACAGGAGAAGTTCAATAAATTCCCGTTATTCGACAACCTGAGAACCTTGTCACTAGGCAGTTGTTTCAGTGATGAAGTTGATTTGAATGACAAATTCAGGGCTCTTGCAAGATTGTTGGAAATGTGTCCTAATTTGGAGAAGCTTACGTTGCAGAGTTGTTGGGTACTCAACTTTGCTCTTATCTACTTTGAATTTGTGATTTTTTGTTGTGATCCTTTCTTGCTTGACTTACTCATAAAAATTCTTTTGCTGCCAAAAGTTTTTAAGAGGTTCTGGGACTCGGAGGGCAAAGCGAAAGACCAGAACAGGTGGGCTCTGTCTCCAAAATCAGGACCAAATGTCCTTCCATTGTGAGAAATTGAAGTTGATTGAAATCAAATATGATGATTATCTTCACTATGATCACCAACTGTTTCAACTGATGTGGTGCTTCTGGAGAAACCTAAAGAAGGGTACCATCGTTCTTAGTAAAATCTCTAATGAGTTTTCTATTGTTTCTGCGGATTCTCCGAGTGAGGAGGATTCTCTTTCGGATTAGCATATACAATGCCATTACCCTGCTTGTTTAGGCGTACAACCACCAACTATTAGCACCTTATAATGGCATGGTAGAGACTAGAGAACTCTTTTGTATGCCCCATGTTGAAATTATATATGTATTAGCGCCCTTATAATGGCACGGTAGAGACTAGAGGATCGACTACTCTTTATGTTTGCCGTGTATGTAACTGATGGACTGATGTTCATTATGGAACCAGCTGTATTCATTAGCAACAAAGTATTCTCGCGTTATGTCGAATATATGCAGTTTCATCTGGGCACATATCTAATGACTCCATGTATATTAAGTACGGGGCAAGCTCTGCAAGTTCAGTTCGCTGTCAACAGATAAACATTAGCTATCGTGTGGACTGTGATAGTAATGAGATTTTAATCCAATTCGCTTATGTAACATGCTTGATCTGAGATCACGATATGAAGCCCGCTCAGTCCAACAAACTTCCATAATACTGTATTCTCTGGCATCCACTGACCACTCATCCTCACGATACCATCATTTAAAAAAAAACGAAGAAGCGAACCAATCCAACATTGCGTCTTGCCATCTTGGGCTCAGACCTCAGAGTTCACGATCCTGATACCATCATCAGCGATATCATCGGTTTTTTTTTCTAAAATCCGTTTGAATTTTGTCAATAAAAATAAAATTCAGTTTGAATTTCTTTTTTCAAAATTTGACCAAAAAAATCGAGTGAGGAAAGTCCGGAGTCCACTTAAATTGTTAACCCTGCCTTGTGCTCTTGGCGATGGCTTCCGTCAGGGAGGCCGTGGGCTTATCCGCGCGCTCGAGAAGGAGCGGGGGTTGTTGGGTTTACACCTTTTCCCCTCCCCAAATTTCGGCATCGTCTCGTCCCAAAACCATTGTGCCGCGTAAACCCTCACCTCCCCTAATCGCCGGTGGCAACCAACGACGGCGGGCGTCGCGTCGCGTCGCGTCACGCTCCTCCCCTGCGACCGGCGGCCGGCGGCGGCGACGTCTTGCGATGGATCGTCTGAGCGCGCTGCCGGATGGCCTCCTCCACGCCGTCATGTCCTTCCTCCCCGCCCGGCAGATGGCGCAGACGTGCGTGCTGTCCAAGCGGTGGGTACATCTGTGGCGCTCGGTGCCTAGCCTCAACCTCGACATCCGTGAGTTTCGTAACCTCTCAAAGGAGGAGGATGATGATGATGATGAGACATGGGGGAAGATGAAGGATTTCATCGCAAACCTGCTAATGTTCCACCACGCTCCGACGTTAGATACCTTCACCGTGTGCACCGGGGCGGTAGTTCAAGCTGCGGTTGGCAATCGCAGTCGTCGCAATCACCGTCGCAACGATGTCGACTATCCCGCTGTGGCTGACAATCGCAGTCGCGATGTCGGTAGATGGATCCGCGGCGGAATCAAGTACTGTCCCCGGGTGCTGGACGTCGCGGTCGCGCCCTCCGGTTCTGGGTGTAGGCCGCCGCCCGACCTGGGCTCAGGTTCTTGCTTCCGTCGTCTCGAGAGGCTGCGTCTTTCTTGCTTTGCTCTGGACAGCGGCTTCGCGAGGCAGGTGCGCGATAGCTGCCCCGTGCTCCGATGCTTGGAGCTCCACCGCTGTCACATTGAGTTCAGCCACATCGAGTCCAGCACGCTGAACAAGCTGGTGATTGAAGGCTGCATAGGCTGCTCTCTTAGTCTTGCTATCAGCGCTCCTCGACTTGCTTCCCTGTGCCTGGACTTATCGTACGGCGCATACAAGAATGGTGTTTCGTTAAATACTATTTCCCTTGTGGAGGCATCTGTTACTTTAAATGTTTTCCAAATCTCACCAGAAGGTGAAGCCATGCTTCTTTGCGGTCTATTCAATGTGACCAATTTGGAGTTGGAGGCTATTCATGCCAAGGTAAACCTTCCTTAATGTTTAACTCCATAAGTATTATATATGATACTCTTAGAGATTTTTGCCATCAGCAATGGTAAGATCTTCTGACATAAATTAGCTGATCTTTAGTTGTTATTAGTGTTGTAAAAGACAAATACGGTAGAAAGCCGGTGACCCCGGCTGGCGACGCAGCGCGGTATAGATGGAGGAGAGTGGAGGCGGGGGCTTCCTCTCCTTCTCCCCTCCCTTCTGTTCCCCTACCTCGCCGTCCGAGTCGGGCCGGCGCCGCATTGGTGGCGGATGGTGGCGGCGTCTCCGACTGGCGTGGCGAGGCGAGGCAGCGGCGCAGATGGAGGCGGCCGGCTGCTGGGCGATGGCGCAGGGGGCTTCCTCTCCCTCCTCCCTCCTCACTCTCTCATGTCTCGTCGGCCGAGGCGGGGCAGAACCATGTTGGAGGCGGACGACACTGTCGGCCCTAGCTGGCGAGGGTCATGGCTAGAATAGAGGCGGCTGGTGGCTGACGGTGTCGACCACGGAGATAGGGCATGGTGCGTAGAGCTTGGTGTTGATGGGGGCGTTCTGAGAGGCGGAAGGATTGACGGTGGTGGCGTGCGCAGCGGCGGCCCTAGGGACCTAGGTGGCGATGGCGGTTGGTCTTCTCGGTGGTGGTGATGGTGGCTGGTCAGCTCGGCGGCGTGCTAGGAGCGAAGCTGAGCGCAGTTGGTAGCGCCAAGGGTGGTGGCAGAGGTCAGCGACGAAGATGATGTGGCGGCGGCGGCTCCCTAATGAGATAGGCTGTGACGACAACTCGATGGAGGTTGTGGACTGCGGGGATGATGATGTTGTGGCGGCAGCTCTCCGGCGAGATAAGCTACGGCAGCTCAACGGAGGCCGTGGTTTGGCAATGGCAATTCTCTGACGAGATACGCTTCGACGACTTAGCAGTGGTCAAGTTTATATAGCAACAACAAAGGGGCAGCGTGATCGCTTTCATGTGATGTGGTGATGACTTTTGGCGGGATAAGCTGCAGCGGCTCGACGGAGATGGTACTCTGCAATGATGACGGCATGGCGGCGATGGTCGCATTCACGCCAAGGGGGCATAGATTGCCCGCCCGACTTGAAATTGATGCTTGGCAACGTGAAGGCGGTTGGATGGATTAGTTCTGTCCCTTTTCTTTGCTCATGGCAGAGCGGAGGAAATTTTACGGTTGTTGCAATGTCAATGAGAAGGTGTGGTGGCGAAAAGGCGGGCTAGCTCTGCAACCTCCGATTTTTGAAGTGTTGAGAAAAAAAATCTAGTCTTTTTTTTTCTTTTAGGTTATTTATTTTTGTGTATCTCGGTTACGAGACGTGGAGTGTATGTACTCATGTAACCTTTGGCTATGTATATCCATTTATGGATATACAGGCCGGTTTTTTATCCATTATTTAAGGGGCTTGCTTGTCAATAAGTCCATATGGGCTGCAGCTGTGCATTAATTATTTTTTTAAGAACAAACGGGATTTATCAGCCTATTAGACATGAAACAGCCTATTTATTGTGTCATGTGGCTGCATAATTGTTTTACACAGTTAATGTCACTCTGAGTTGACAATACAGCGCGGTTTGGCTAGTTTTTCGGTTAGACTACTGATTAAACAGTCTTCGCGGTCGACTTATAGTACACTGGTTTTATATATTTGAATTTCAGGTAATACTTCATGAGAAATTTGACAAATTCTCATCATTCAACAACCTGAGAACCTTGTCACTAGACGATTGTTTTCAAGGCATGGGTGATTTGAAGGAAAAATTCAAGGCTCTCGGAAGATTACTGGAAAAGTGTCCTAATTTGGAGAAGCTTACATTGCAGCATTGCTGGGTATTCAACTTTGATCTTTATCAACTTTGGTTTTATGATTATTTTTGTGGTCTTCCTTTAACATCTTACGAATCCTTATGTTTCCAATAGTTTTTAAGTGGTTCTACTCAAAGGGCAGAGATGGAGACCAGAACGAGTGGACTCTGTCTCCAAAGTCAGGACCAAGTGACCTTCCATTGTCAGAAATTGAAGTTGATTGAAATCAAACATGACAGTGAACTTTGCTGTGATCACCAACTGTTTCAACTGATGTGGGGCTTCTGGAAGGACCTAAAAAAGGCCACCATCATTCTTACCAAAATTTAGAGAAGCCTTCCTATTATAGTGGTATGGTATACTCTCAGCAGTGGTTCTCTTTAACAGACACTCAGGTTTACCACGCAATGCCATCTTTTATGCTCATTGTTTAGGGCGTGCCACCAACTACTATCAACTTTCTTTGAAATGATATATGCATTATCGTCGTTAGTAGTGGCACAATAGAGACTAGAGAGGTAGACTGCTCTTTTGTATGGCCCCTGAAAACGCTGTTGGATGGATGTAACAGACAAGTAACTTTTCCCTCAAAAAAAAAAAAAAAAAGGGACAAGTAACTGGTGATCTGTTGTTTATGGAGCCAGTAGTATTCAGCAGCAACCAAATATTCTCCTTATGTCTAATATACTTCCTCCATATTTTAATATATGACGCCGTTGACTTTTTAACCAACGTTTGACCATTTGTTTTATTTAAAAATTTTGTGAAAATATGAAAATATTTATATCATGCTTAAAGAACATTTGATGATGAATCAAGTCACAATAAAATAAATGATAATTACATAAATTTTTTTGAATATGACAAATGGTCAAATGTTGGATAAAAAATCAACAGCGTCATACATTAAAATACAGAGATAGTATTATATATGTAGCGTCGTCCACTCATGCAATAATTCCATGTATATTACCCTTGCAACTTGTGCTGGTTTGTTAGCTGCTTTTCATTGGCTTATCTAATGTTGGCTGAGTCTAGCAACATTGATTGGTACACGTGGAATTAATGTTTAGCATTTCAAATAAATCAAGCAATAATCTTGAGAGAAAAATGACATGGAGAAAAAAGTACTCTAGAGACTAGAGCTAATACTAACTGGGAGTGAGATCAGCTTGGACGCTGTTGGTGTGCTGCAGGCTTGCTGCACTTGAATCCGGAAAGAACTACAGAATTTAGCATCTAGAATGATCATCGGGGGCTCTAATTATTTTGAATAAAGGCTCCACGCACGCGTCATGGTAAATATGTGTATATAGTTTATATGCCATAAACTATATACATTTGTAATATGCCATGTTGTGCTATACAAAAATGAGGAGCATAGCTCCTTAATTTAAACAAAATCTGGAACACTTTTCGAAAAATATCATCACCAATTTTATCATTTAATAGGAAACTCAACGACAATTTTTCATGAATAAGAAACCCTAAATAGTGTGGACATAAAAAGGAGAAAGTTTAAGAATTTTCATAATAAAGTGATTTGCTATGTTAAATTAGAACTTAAAAATTAATTGCAAATTTTATTCGAATGTACTATTTTTTCTTAAGTTTCGATAAAATTTAACTAATTCTTATAAAACATTGCAAAACTTATACTACCCGTGTACTTAACATAATATCATCTTCAAAATCAAGACCAACTCCATTACACATGTTTTATCATTGTTTTAACAAACTATATATCTATAGAGATTAAATGCAGTTATACAGAAGAGTTTTCATTAAAAATTCTATTAATATGATATTTACATTTTAATAATTAAAGATATCGATATTTGACTGCACACATATTGTAGGACTCGGTTTTTCTTTTTTGGAAGGGCAGAGTAGTAATTCTCACCGCACAGAAGGCACCGTGTGCGGGTTAAAAATGAAAAAAAAATAAAAATAAACCCACCCTCTTCCTCTCCCAAAACCCTCCTGCGTCGCTCGGCAATGGACCTAGATCGGCGGCCAGAGGCGGGCCTACAACAATTCAAGGGTATTCAAATGAATACCTAAGAATTTTGGCAAAAAGACAGATATATATACTATGTATTTTATATGTGTATTCAAAAAATTAAAGAGAAGACATCAAACAGCCCATCAAGCAAAGAAACCATCTAATTTAGATGTCCTCCCCTTCTTTGTTGGCCCATTAGCACAATTAATTCACTCCATTTTACCCAACCAAAAATTCTATATACATGAACTTATGCTCAATTGTGCTATATATGTTATATATTATACAACTATTAGTATGTGATATTATATTATATGAGCCAATTGTTATGATTTTTTAGCGTAGAAAAATTTTCCCCCTATTTATTTTGAATACCCAACCTCAAAATTCTGGGACCGCCCCTATCGGCGGAGGCTGGTCTGCACCGGCGTCCTGACTCCTGAGCACGCACGCTGAGCCATGTAAGTTTGAGCCCAGCTCTTCTCAGTCGCCCTGCGCTGCCTTCTGCCTGCGACGATGGAGCCCGTCGCCAAGCGGGCCCGTACGGGCGGCGGAGGCGGATCCGCCGCCGTAGATCGCCTGAGCAGCCTGCCGGACGCCCTCCTCCACGCCGTCATGTCCTCCCTCCCGGCGCGGCAGATGGTGCAGACGTGCGTGCTGTCCAAGCGGTGGGTACATCTGTGGCGCTCGGTGCCTAGCCTCAACCTCGACAGCAGGGAATTTCTCCTACCAATATATGATAGATGGCAGAAGATGGAGGATTTCACCACCAACCTGCTCATGTTCCACCACGCTCCGACCTTAGACGCGTTCAGCATCCGTGCAGACGTAGCTGTTGGCAAGCACGGCCGCCATGTCGATAGGTGGATTCGCTGTGGTATCAAGTACTGCCCCCGAGTGCTGGACATCGCGGTCGCAACCGTTGATTCTAGGTACAGGCTGCCCGATCTGGCCTCCGGTTCTTGTCGCCTCGGAAGGTTGCATCTTTCTTATGTGGCTCTGCACAGCGGCTTCGCGAGGCAGGTGCGCGATAGCTGCCCCGTGCTCCGATGCTTGGAGCTCCACCGCTGTCTCACCAAGTTTAGCCACATTGAGTCCAGCACACTGAACAGGTTGGTCATTGAAGACTCCATGGGTGGCTCCGATAGTTTAGCTATCAGTGCTCCTCGTCTTGCTTCCCTGCGCCTGGTGGCCTTTCTGTTCCACACATACAAGAATGGTGTTTCGTTAAACGGAGCGAATTCCCTTGTGGAGGCTTCTGTTGCTGTGAAGTCTGGCCGAACCTCGCCAGAAGGTGAAGCCATGCTTCTTTGCGGCCTGTTCAGTGTTTCCAGTTTGGAGTTGAAGGGTATACAGGAACTGGTAAGCCTTCCTTATTAGCGATGTTTTTGCTCCATGAAATAGTCCACAACTATTATATATGCTACACGAAATTTTGTCATTAGCAATTTGGTACGCCTTCCTTACTAGCGATATTCGTGCTCCATTCTTAACTCCATTAGTATTGTATATGCTACTTGAGATTTTGCCCTAGCAATTGTAAGAACTTCTGACATGCATTAGCTGGTCTTTAATTTTGATAAGTGCTATAAAAAAATGAAATACGGTTGTCTGACAGATAAGGTAACCCTGAATCATCAATCAGAACAGAGACAATTAATTGCAATTATGTTAATGTATGGTGTACACATTACTGTGTGCTCATTTGATGTTAGTGCTTATTATAGACATAATACCTTTTTTTTTATCAAAACATTATTGTTTACTCAAAGGATGGCAAGATAATGGACAACTATGATAAAAAAAAGTATCATTAGTGCTCATCAATAAGTCCAGATGGGCAGCTCTGCATTAACTAAACAAACAGGATTTATCAGCCTACAAGATGGCAAACAGCCTATTTATTGTGTCATGAGGCCGCATAATTGTTTTATTCAGTTAATGTCACTCTGACTTGACAATACGATAGCTAGTTTTTCTGGTAGGACTGCAGATTAAACAGTCTTGGCGACTGGCTTTTACTACACTCGTTGAAATATCTGAATTTCAGGCAATACTTCATGAAAAATTTGATAAATCCCAATCATTCCACAACCTGAGAACCTTGTCACTAGACAATTGTTTTCAAGCTGAAGGTGATTTGAAGGACAAATTCAGGGCTCTCGGAAAGTTGCTAGAAATGTGTCCTAATTTGGAGAAGCTTACATTGCAGCATTGCTGGGTATTCAACTTTGATCTTTATCCACTTTGAATTTATGATTTATTATTATTGTTCGATCTTTCCTTGCTTAATAGTTTTTATCTTATGTTGCCAATAGTTTTTAGGAGGTTCTACTCAAAGGGCAAAGAGAAAGACCAGAACGAGTGGGCTCTGTCTCGAAAGTAAGGATCAAGTGTCCTTCCATTGTCAGAAATTGAAGTTTATTGAAATCAAACATGACAATGAATTCGGTGGTGATCACCAACTGTTTCAACTGATGTGGGCCTTCTGGAGGAACCTAAAGAATGCTACCATCATTCTTACTAAAAACTCGCTTTAGGATTCTCCATCGGGTTAGCTATGTGCAATGCCATCTTGTATTCTTGTGCCCTGCTTGTTTAGGGTGTAAAACCACCTACTATCAACTCTCTTCAAATGATATATGTATTATTCTCGTTATTAGTGGCGTAGTGGAGACTAGAGAAGTAGACTACTCTTGGGTATGCTCCTTAGAAACTTTGTTGGATGTTTATGTAACAAACAAGTAACTGATATGCTGGTGTTTACGGAACCAGTATGGGTTGATGTTTATGGAACGAATAGTATTCAGTAGCCACCAAGTATGCCTTCACGTTTAATATATACTGTATGTAGCTTCAGCTGGGCATGATGCAATAATTCCATGTATATTATCAATTTATCATACAAAACTTTGTGAAGATTTCTCTGAAACCCTAGGAGATGCAGACGTGGATGCAGCGTTGGATTCTTGGCAGCCTGTTCGACCAATTTTATCTTTACAGCGCCTTGAGGATAAGGTAAATTAGTTCAGAAGCGATGAAATTATATATCTGAATGTTTTGATGTCAGTTCTACTACAAGGTTACCATGAAGAAGTTTCACCTGTTCATATCAAGTACGTTCTGTGTGTTTCAGGTGACGTTTGTTCAGGAACCTGATGAATTATCAATGTTCTATAACCTGAAGAGAGCTTGTTGCTGTAGTATTGCTTCGTCAGCGAACGTTGTGGTATGCCCAACAAATTTAGGGCTCCGGGGATTTGTCTGCAGAAATCCCCTGAATTGTGAACCTTACTTTGCAGCATTGCATGGTACTCCTTCCATCCCATAATATAAAGGATTTTAAAGAAAAGTGACGTTTTCTAGAACTACGAATCTGGACAGTCTCATAGTCCTAGAAAGTGTTACATCTCTCTAAAATCCCTTATATTGTCACTGCTCACTACTCTTGCTCCGTTGATTTTCATTCTTTTGATCTTTTTGAACATAAATCATCGACACTTTTAAAGATTACAGCATCTCTGAACTTTTGTGGACATCTGTATAATTGTATGAGCTAGAAAGGGCAGTGGTATTTTTCATTCTCTTGATTTAGCATTCAGCAGAGCTCCTGCACTTTTTAAAGGAAAAAAAAATCACACCTCAAGATCAATTTTTTTGTGGACTAAGAGCATCTCCAACAGTCTCTCCATCCCACTCTCCAAGCCAAATTTTAGCTATTCTAGCCAAAAACGTGCTCCAACAGTCTCTCCAATCGGATGGCTAAAACCCTCTCTCCACTAGCTAAATTTGGTCACTCTATTTGGCTGGCCAATGGTAGGCCCCACATAGCTAATCTCCTCCATCCCCACACGACAACAGGGAAAGGCATGGGAGGAGCACGAGCACAACGATGAGCACGGCGACCGCCGGCCTTCGCTCGCCGCCGCACCAAGCCAGTCGCCGGCCGCCGGCCTCCGCGCAGCGCCGCCCATCGTCTCCACTCGCCGCGGCCGCGAGCCTCTGCACGGCGAGGCTCGGCAGCGCTGCCGCCGCCGCTCTCTGTTCTCCGCTGGCCTGTCGTCGCCTCACGTGCCCGCCGGCCGCCGTCGCCACATCGGAGGAGATATTGTGGGGGAGGATGCAGTAGCCCAGTAGGAGGAAGGGAGGAAGAAGTAGTAGTAGAGAATGGGTTGAAAGAGGAGGAAGAAGAGTAGTAGAGACTGACATAATGGATCCCATTTGTTATAGAGAGGGTAGATGGAGAGGCTGTTGAAAACATACAACTAGTTTGGCTAGCCAAATCAAATAGAGAGTTGGCTATTGTTTGGAGAGGCTGTTGAAGATGCTCTAAGGACTTTTCATGCGATTCTGTAAAATCTGCAATGAGGATGATGCATGTTTATCACGCTGAGGGCCCAAAAACATACGGAATTTTTATGAAGACCTAGGAATTAAAGGATTGAATCATATAATTTAATGGACATTTGTATGGAGATTTTAGATCATACATGTGTATTTCATGTGTTTCGCAATTGCATTCCTATCAAAATCATATGTTTTTTTTCTATTTCTCCATTTTTTTTCCTAACATGTACTCCATCCATCCTAAAATATAAGTATTTTTTAACTTCAACACGGTCTTTGAGATGCTACATTGACCAATAATATCTATAAAAAATATATATTTTATATAAAACGAGTTACATATTATGATAGGTTGTTTAATGATAAATCTAGTAATATCATGACTAATTTTTTTTTGCTATTAATATATTTTATTGACTTACATGTATGTTATGATCTGTCAAAAGATTTCAGAACGTCTCAAAAGGGGTGAAGACGGCGAGACGGACCTTGATTCTGTCCCTGATCCTCATGATTTCAACACTTCACAATGTCCGAATTTGAAGGTGATAGAGATCAAGTATAAATTAATATGAAAAGGAACGTGAAACTTCTAAACTTTTGTGGGACATTTGGACAAACAACGAAAAGACGGTAGTATTCACCAAAACCAGGAGTTCCCGCTCAATTGCATGGGACTATTTTCAATAGAATATATTTACAACTCCACTGATCCTAAAATAAGGTTAATTTATTTTGGCACGAAGAGAGTATACAACACCATCACTATTTTAAACTATTGTATTTTTTTACCCATGCTTACACTCTCCTACATCCGGTTCACAATGTACGGTGTTTATCTCTTTCTACTCCGAGCAATGTGATAACTTGCTCCCTCCATTCCTAAGGTCCCATTCTTTTCTGATTAAGATGCAAATTCTATCTATGTTTTCGTTAGCACTTTTTTCAAACTGCTAAACGATGGGTTTCGCGCAAAAAACTTTCTATATAAAAGCTGCTCTAAAATATTAAATAAATCCAATTTTTAAGTTTATAATAATTAAAACTCAATCAATCATACTGTAATGACTTGTCTAGTTTTACGTGTGTTAAAAAAAATGGATACGACTATGCGTCGGGCACCCAATAAAACACAAAAATCAGAAGCCTCCGCGTCAGGTCTCCATCCTAATAAATAGAACAAACAAGAACCATTACAATAAAAAAAACCCATATAGATGTAGCATAAGGCCCTGTTTCTTTCAGCTTGGAATTATTATAATCTAGATTATTGAGTCAGATTACTATAAGCTAGATTGTTATAATCTGTAGTAGAACGGTTAGTTGTTTCTTTCCTAGATTATTAGAACCTAAATTATTGGGTTTGCAAGTCTAAAGAGGAAGTGGGGTGGCATGGTGGGTAATTTTTCACCCAATAATCTGGAAAAAAAACTCACATAAATGAGCTTATCAGATTATAATAAGCTGGGCTCCAGATTATAATAAGCTACTTCAATAAGTTGTCTGTTTCTTTTAACTTACTCACAATAATCTAGATTATAATAATCCCAAGCTGAAAGAAACAGGGCCTAAGCCATGCCAACAGAATCAAAAATCAGGCACCCACGCTCCGTTGGCTGCTCATGCGCTTGTTGTGTCCTCTCAAGAGGCATTTGTGCATGCATGCTCTTCATTCTCGCTTCTTGACAAAAAAAATCAATTAAATTACGTATTTGATTTATACTTCGATTACATAATTGTACTCATTATAATACAATCTTTATAACAAAATACCACATGATTATATTTAGACACTAAAAAATATATATTTCAACCAATGAAGGTTAATTTTCACTTCAATTAAAATTATTAAAATTGGACTATGTTGCACATTTTAAGTTTTTATGTTATAGTGGATCTTTATTGTTGCGCACGATGTCGTTTGGATGTTTCAATTTTTTTTTTGATGTTTCACTAGTTTATTTACTGTAATGCTCCGCTTTTTGCGTGACGTTAAAAACTAATTCGGCAAAATC